TATAAAACACTAATAACACCGGTGCTAACATATGGAACTGAAACTGCTTGTTCACTTACACAGAAGGTATAAAATTTGCTTAAACGCGAAAGTTTAAGGCGACAAATCCAAAGAAGGAGGAATCCTATGTAGGAATAAAAGAGCAAAGTTTGTGGCGCAGGCGTTTGAGTTGTACAGAAGTTTTATAACTTGAAAATTCATTAAGATAGCACGCCTTAGATGGATAAAGCATATAATTAGGGGATAGAAAGGTGCAACAGTCAGAGCCAGTCGGAGCAAGAGCTATAGGAAAATTGAGACAGGTATCAAGTTAACTTGAGCATTGTTCTGAAGAAGGCTTTGACTCATAATTTGTAATGCCACTGATGATGATGACTAATTCTTTATTTCTAATTGTGCATTGGTATCCAGTGTTCTGATCTCAAGAAAAATGTCTTAAGTCTACCTTAAGTCCTTATATATCGTACATCCTTGTGTTTTGCATTTTTATTTTCTAACAGTCGTTATAGTGTATAAATGTGGCGTATATATTTATAGTATAGCCTGGTATTCACCAGGCCATTTTAACATTTGTAATTTTGTAGTATTTTTAAATGAATTAAGGTGTGATTTATTCTTTTTGTTAACTTTTCTTATTGCTGAAAAACGTTTTTTTTTTATTTTTTATGTATTCTATTTTACTATGAATTTTGTTTGTTGTTTCAGAGTAGGCCTTCTATTTCCAAAATATTTCTTAACAATTTTACAGTTTACTGAGCTACCATAGTTAAACATTTACATTTACATGCATCTGTTTTAAATACTCATATTTATATTAAAAGATATATAAAGTCAATACCACTATTTACTCTCCCACGACAGTTCTTTTACTTAATCGGAACTATGATAAATGGTTTTCGTTTTGGTCTGTTTGCAAAAGAATTTCGTTCTTCATATACGCTAATTAAGCGGTGTATACATTGGTGGGTGATAAAGATTTCGATAAAAATGTTCAAAGGTCAAGGTTGATCAAAAAACTATGGCTTTTGTTGTTAGAACTGATTTCGGTCAATGTTTCGATGACTTTTCTATACTTGGTCGAAGTTGAGGAAAATATTTTTTTTTATTATTAAAAACGGCTGTTGTTTTGGTATTTTAGTAAAAAACTTTGTAACTATGTACCTAAAAAGTAGCATTAGTTAATTAGTTATTTCCTCCATTATTAATTTATTCGCTATATCATTTGTAATTAATAAATATTGTGATTAATGTTCCAACGTTCCTACTAATTAATTAGCTACATAATTACTTTTGTTTTTTTATATTACATTAAAAACTTTACATAGTAATTTTGGATGGTTTCTGTGGTAATTTTAGATAACATTTTAAATTATTTTATTTTCTTATCATCCTATTTACATCATCTTCTTTTAGGATGTTTTATTCAATCCAGAGTTTGGAAATAATGAATATGGATTTTTTACCACACTCTACAACAACTAGTTTGGTTGACATCGTTCCCAATCACTTGTACAAGCAAAATAGAAGGTTTTAAATGAGATAGCCCTATCAGTCTTTATTGACATAAAAGGAGACTTTGGTAGTGCTGCCTATAGCTCATGACAAACTTCCTCATAAATAGAGGGGTTAGCAATATAATTATCCATTAATTTAAAGCTAGAATGCGGAGAGGCACAAATGAAGTGGGCACTACAAGTGGGTGTCCGCAAGGGAAAGTACTACTCCTCGGACGTGGTAGCTGGTAATAGATAAAATACTAAGCGACCTCAGTAAGGTCTCTTGTCCTTGGGTATGTTGTTGCAGATATTTCTTGTCGTTGAGAGAATACAAAGAGCAGTTAATTTATTTAATAAATAAATAACGAAAAGATGGAATAATTAAAAATACAAATAAAATTACCATCGTCTCATTAACTAAAAGAAAGAATTTTAATATTCCTAATATTAGACTAAATAAATAATAAATAATTATTTTACTCTCAACGGAGGGGACATTCTTCTTAGGGTGCCTATCCATTTCGAACGTTGGCGATCATTCCGGCTATGATGACTTTATTGGTTACTATACCGAATAGCTGTGTTGAGATCTTTCTCTACCATGCTCTGAGGTTAGCCAACCAGGATATTCTTCTTCGTGCTGGGACGCTTTTTTCTTCTATTTTACCTTGCAAAATGCATTGGAGTAGCTCATATCTGCCTTGATTTCTCATTATATATCCCAAGTACTGCAGTGTACGGCCCTTAACGATGTTGACCAAATCCGCGGTTTCATCCTCCGTAGTACTTCGATGATGACTTTGTCTGTCCATGGTATTTTCAGGATACTTCTGTATAAACATAGCTCAAAAGCCTGAAGTTCTGATAGGGTTTCCGCCTTCAATCTCTACGTTTCTACTCCGTACAGAAGCAGTGAGTACACAGAAGAATAAATAAGAACCGTCAGGTATTGACCACCTTTAAATTTCGAAAGTTACAATTCTTCGGACATATTATGCGAAATGAATCCAGAAATGCTCTTCTTCAAGCCATCCTGTAAGGAAAAATATTTTGAAAGCGAGGTTCAGGAAGAAGAAGAACATCTTGGTTAAAGAACATCATAATCTGGTTTAATGCAACATTTGTACATAATATAAAGATTGTCATGATGATCGCCAACATTCGTAATGGATAGGCACATCAAGAAGAAGAAGATGTTTTCCTTGCTGATGATCATTAGCTTGGTTTTGATGGTGTTTATATCCAGTTCATATGTTTTACTTGTTCCGTTATTTTGTTAATTAAGTATTATAGCCCTTCTATGGTATTTGAAAACACTATTGTATCATCTGCATCTTCTTCTTTTTCGCGTGCCATATCAGAATTATCCGACGTTGGCGATCACCATTGCGAAGGCTTCTCGATCTTCTGCAATGTGGAATAATTGTCCTGCAATTGGTATCTGAGTCCATTCACGAATGGTTTTTAACCAAGAAACTTGTTTTTTTCCTACACCTCTACGGCCCTCTATTTTGCCTTTAAGGATCAGTTATAAAATTTTTGATCGACTTCCTCTTACTCTATGTCCCAGATAAGACATTTTTCGATGTTTAAACAGTCCGCATACCGCAGGTTATTGAACTTGACTCCATTTATTGAGAAGCTTTTATCAATATCTTTTAGAAGAGACTCTTTCAAAATGTGCTCCGAGTGCAGATTAAATATCAGTGGTAAAATTATGCACCCCTGTCTCACTTTCCTTAAGATTTTTGCCTAATCTGTATATTCTCCATCCATTCTGAGCACTGCTGATTGATTCCAATACAGGTAAGCTATTGTTTTTAGGTCCCTTCCGTCAATCGTTGTCCTCTTCAGCTCTTCCATTATTTGTTTATTCCTGACTGTACCGAAAGCCTTCTTGTAGTCAATTAGGCATGCAAAAATATCGCAGCTAGATTTCTGAAACAATACCTGCACGCTAAATAAAGCTTCTCTCGTAACAACGGCGTTTACAAATCCAAATTGATTGCTCGAAATTTGTTCCTCGCATTGATTGGAACTCCGATTTCCACTGATTACCAGCCACTCTACTGGTATTGCTCCTGCCTTGTATATTTAAATAAATATTTTAGTTACTATTTTGATTTGTTCTGTATCTAATAGGTATAGCAGCTACAGGAATTGCATCAAGTCCCGGTGCTTTTCCATTCTTCATTTGTCTGACAGCTGCTGTTATTTCTTCTGGTGGGATTTTGGGACCTGAATTTTCTTTAATGGTGGGTTCTTGTATTGTTCTAGGGTCGTGGAAAAGTTTCTCCAAATATTATACCCATAATTTCTTTTTATCTTCTTTGGTTATGGCAAGATTGACTTCATCATCTGTTATTTTTGCGCTGTTGCGTTTTTCGTTTTGATGAACATTGACGTTATCATATCGACTCTGATACTCCTCTATTCCTTGACATTGTTCTGTTTTTGTGTCTCTTTGGCTTCTCTTATCTTTCTTTTGATGATGGTATGTATTTCTCTTATGCTTTTAGAGATTTTCTTTTTTCTTTCTTTGATCCATAAGTTCAAGTGTTTTATCGGTCATCCACGATCTCCGTTTCTCTGTATCTTTCTTCAGGTGTTGTTCTTTTATTTCTTTTACTGTTTCTGAGAAATGATGGAGTATGATGGTCAGACTTTCCTCTATAGTTCTTGCATTTCTGAATTTTAGCACCATTGTATTGAGGTTTTCACTCACCTTCAGTCAAATATTGGGACCTTTCAGTTTTCTAACATCATACTTCTTCATCGACTTACTTGTAGCCTTCTTGCCATCTATCCAAAATGACCAATAAGGCAGCTAAAACGCTATGCGAGATGGTTGGCCAAACTTGGAAATAAAACCCCAAAACGAATACCTACAGCAGGAAGTCAGACATCCTCTATACATCTGTTGGCCGATGGAAGAAAGTAAATCAAAGTACAACTAAAGAAAAATTGGCAAATATGCAAGCATGGTTAAGCAAGCATCATAGATACCTTGAGAACAACACCCACAGCCGCCATGGACAGCCTGATTGATTTGGATCAGATGATTTAAAACAGACACTCACACTACATAAGGAGTACCATCTTAAGCAAGGTAACCTCAAAGGTAATCTGGAAATTCTCTTCTTTATTTTCTCGTGTAGGAAACAGATTCTCTGGAAAGATTTCTCCTATATTGTATATTGGATTTTATGAGGCTGCTAAAACTTTACTCTTCTATATTTTCTATAATCTCTCTTCTGATCTTTTGTCCTGATTTTGTTATTGTCTAGACTACTTCTTACAAATCTATCCTTGGCCATCCTCACTACATGACTATTTCATCAAAGACAGTGGCGTGTAGTTAATTATGAAATATGTTTCCTCAGCAGTTAATTATATTTGTTCGCCCAAAAACCTTTTTCCAAATTTTCTTTGAATAACTTAAAACTATTAAAAAAAATTAGAACCCGAAAAAAGTAAAAGTTTTAAGATACTAAGAGTACTTACGTGGTTGGTTCATCCAAGAACATGACCATTGGATTATTTACTAACTCTAAAGCTATTGACAACCTCTTTTTCTGTCCACCGGAAAGACCAGCTGCTCTCACTTTTTTTTGTATCTTCAAGTTTTAGTGTTTTTAGAATATTGTTAATCTGGAAATAAAATAACAAAATTAAAAACAAAATACTACACACATTTTATACAAATATATATTTTAAGAAAAAGGATAAAAAAGTCCCATTGTATTTATTTTGTAGATCTTACTGACCTTTTTTGTATTACTGACTATTACCAGTATTGAACAAGTAATGAAAATCAAATACCTTGGAATTACACAGTCATGCTATGGAGACCCGGACAAAGAAGTAAGAGATCAAGTACAAAAAGCAAATAGACTGGCAGGATGCCTTTATAACAATATGTCAGAACAAACACATAAATACTGAAATAAAGTCAAGAATTTATAAAGCCAGTGTAAGACCAATAATGGACTATGTTTCAGAAACAAGGCCCGACAGAGCCACAACACAAAGGCTACTGGAAACGGCAGCGATGAGAGTACTGAGCAGAATTACAGGAAATACTCCGAGAGATCGAAATAGAAGGGAAGACGTTAAAAGAAAATGTAACGTACAGAGTATAAACGATTGGACACTAAATAGAAAAAAGAATGGAGTAAACAAATAAGCAGAATGGGACAATTACCAATCCTAACATATGCAGCGGAGACAAAGACCGATACAAGATAGACAAAACAACAAATCAACAAATCGAAATGAAAGTATTAAGATCAATAGCGGGCATATCATTCAGAGACAGACAAACCAACAGAAGTAAACGCGAACAATGCAAAATTCAAAATATTAACAGGTGGATAAAAACAAGAAAAAAAAACTGCAACGAACATGTAAACCGAATGGGACCAGATAGATTATCGAACATCTGTAAAAACAACAAACCGTATAGCAGAAGACCCGTTGGAAGGTCGCCAAAAAGGTGGAAAGATAATGTAGTTAACAACGATTGAAATAGAATAAGAGCCAGACAAACAGGAGTAATCCTAGTCGCACGAAGAAGAAGAAGAAGAAGCAGAATGGGGAAGACTCGTGTCGTCAAAATAGCACAGAATAAGTCACTAATCGGCAGAAGAAAAGACCGCGCAAAAGATAGAGTGACAACCTTTCATAGAGATCTTAATCGGCCAAATAAACAAGCAGAATTGCTTATAAAGAGAAAAAAGAAGAAGAAAGTATTTGGTGAGTTTGATTTAAATACTGCTTGTAATCTGTCGAATGCTGCCCATGCTAAGGAACATCTTCTATTTTTAAGTCAGCCTTTAAGTTGACCTTTGTTAATTCGATTTTTTGCCTTAAGTATATATACGACTTAACCTTTTCTATATTATTATTGTCCAGAGTTTATCTTTAATTATATCTAGACCATTTTTATTATAAATTTAGTTTAACACCGAATAAAAGTCGAAATTTTTTCAGATATAATCATTTACTACACTACTTTTATTGATTATTACAAATTTAATTACTTAAATGAAGATTTGGAATAGATGCGGCATTAAATAAATAAAAGTAAAAGCAAAAGTTGAACGACCTTCACTACAAATTAAATGTAAACGACCTTGAGGCAATGCATTTTTGTAACAATTCTGGTCAGACCTTCTTTTCTGAAAATATTCCATCTAGAATCGCGAGAACATTGAACTGAGATAATAATATGGTAATTATTTTACAGGTTTATAGCGATATTATTTAGTCGGTATATGATTTCAATGTCGATAAATATTACTTTATAAAGTAACATGATCAACATGAAACACTTAATTCAATGGAATAATTTTGTGTTTTCAACTAACCCGTCATTTAAGTAGAACATAGTAATTTAATAGCAAAATTGTGCCGTACTGATGCAGAAATAACGGCAAAATACAGATTGCCTACCCATAACATTTGATGACAATCAATAAAGAAAACAAGCTGGTTGCATAAAGGATTTAGCACTATACCTAAATATGTTATTAATGGGGAAAATAATAACAAAGTAGGTTACTAAATTTTAAATTCCTCTATTTTTAGCTCTAGTTTACTGTTTACTTGGAGGAATCATTAGATTTTTGTATAAAAGCCGTCTGTAATAACTGCTTTACAAAATAGCTGAACTAGTATACGGGGAAATGGGATCAGTAACAATAATACAACGACTTCTTAAACTGAGTTTAATGGGATCAAATGATAAAACACCATGTAACATTAGACCCTGTGGGAAATATTTCGGCTCATACAGATTTGATATAGTAGTACAGTAACAGAAACAGTAATAGTACTAGAATTGCCTACACTTGATCGAGTACTTAAATAAAAGACAGTCAGTACTTTTGTACTGGCTGAAAGGCTGTGTATAAAACACCGATGCATGAAAAGAAGTATTTTTATTTTTTCGTTATTTCCACGAGCATCTTTAATCTTAAAAAAAAATTTAAAAAGTAATCAAATTGTTAAAATATTAAGAGAGTTTTTGCTAGTTTTAATGCTTCCCTTAGAGTTAGCCTAAATTCTCGTATAAAAACACAGACGCTATCGAATAATAAATGGTTGTTAATACATTGTTGCAAACAAAAGACTGTTCTTTCATACGTTGTATGTTAACAATGAAACATACAAAAACTAGTCTATTTTGTTAAAATGGCTTATTGCTTTGGTAATTATCTACTACACGTAGCGTCAACTGCTCTATCCTTTGTCCCACATAGTTTTCACCTCTACGTCTGATATGACCAAACCACTGCAGTGTTTATTCTTGAATCTTTTTTAAAACTCTAGTCACCCTAGCTCATTCCCTAATCAACTCGTTTCTGATCATGCCCTTCTAGTCTAGCCCAATATCCATAATAAAATTTTCATTTTAGCTACCAACCTTTTCTTTTCTCAAATCTTCTTTACAGGCCACACTTCACCACCGTACACCAACGCAGGTCTCAACACAGTGTTACATATATTTTCTTTCAGCCTTTCACCGATTTGTTGATCACATATCACTCCGATATGTAGGAGGCTATGCATTTAAATTTTCCTACTCGACTAAGGTTTTTCTCCAAGAAATTTTATGTTTTCAAACAGTCCTCTTTCTCTCAAACTAACCCAGCCACATATACTTCGTTTTCGACCAGCTAACCTTAAGTCGTCCCTCTTTAATAGATCTTCTCCAAAACTTTAACTTCTCTTCCAACATTTCTTTTCTATTTTCTACTAACACGATATCATCACCAAGAAACATTACCCCCTCCCTTACTTTCTCTGTTAGTACATTCATAACAAGATTAAAGAGGTAAGGACACAGTGAAGAGCCTTGATGTAAACCAAACACCACTCAAAAACTTTTGGTACATTCAACAGCAGTTCTTACTTTGGTGTACGCTCCCTTATACATATTCTTCGCGAGTCTTCTCTCTTATACATCTCCATAGCTCTTGTCTAGGAACTGTATCGTACGCCTTGTCAAGATCTATAAATATCAAATGCAGCTCTTTTTTCTTCTCGCTGTATTTCTCTAATTTTTCTGTCAACTAAAGCAAACAAGGCATCTGTTGGTGTTATTTCTTACATAAACCCAAACTGTTTTTTTCCTATCGATGTCCCCTTTTTAACCTACGCTCTACAGTTTTCTCCCAAATTTTCATTGTGTGCGGCATTACATTTATACAATAGTAATATCACACTCCCTCTGCAGGCATTTCCTTTCTTTCTTATATATCTTACTTATAATTTGTCACAAAACATCAACCCCTTATTCTCCTAGAGCCTTTCAAACCTCCACAGGTATTCCATCAGGTCTTAACAACTTCATCTCTCGCTATCCCCGGTATTACATTACATTTGGGATCCGCATCCTTTGTCTCTCCTCTGGTGTTTTTATTTAGCAATTTTATAAAGTACTTTTACCATCTTTGCTTTACTTTAACATCTATTCTTAACACTCTTCCATCTGCACTCTTAATTTGCCGCACGTCAGTCAAGTCCTTTGATGACTTATTTCTTGCTTTAGCAATGCAGTATAACCTTTTTATCCCCAAGGGGATACTCTTCATAGAGCTGTGCAGACGATCTTTCCTTAGCTGTGCGTACCTTTGCTTTGCTCTGTGCTACTTTGTATATATTCTTATCTTCATCTATTTTAGACCTGTCATACCTGTTTCTAGCCTCTTTCTTCTCTCTAACCTTCTGTTACACTTTATAGGTTCCATTACTAAGTTTCTTCATCTATAGGGTTACCAAATGCTTTTCCTAACACTTCTTCTCCCAGTCGCAGTACAACTTTACTGTTGGCTTTTCACCAGCCATTTACCGCACCTTTTTTCCCAAGCTCCTTCAGACTCTTGCCAAATTCTTATCCTTTAATTTTCACCACTTTACTTTCTGGTGTCCCACTTACTTTTCTTTCCACCTCATCTTTATCTCCATATATACTATTATCAGTCGGTGTTGACTAGCAAAACACTCACCTCTCATGGGTGAGTTCACTAACCTTTTTTATTACTATATTATATAAGTGTTATGAACTTTAAACACTACCATATAAAGTGGAGGTCTGGTCCATATCTGAAACAGACAGTAATGAAATAACAACCTTCGAAGTGTGGTTTTATCCCAAAATCTCAAAATATTATCAGAGCTGTCAAAAAATTATTTTAGTCACAATAATCGCCAACATCCAATGAGTATATGCTACTATAAGAAGAAGAAATATTAGTAAAGAATAATAATATTTTATTAGTGCATTAGATTGTGCCTTTGTTCTATCAACTTTCCTTGAAGAGATTGTATAAAAATATTAAAACTCCTGTGGAATTTCGTACTATTACCAAATACTGTATTCACACCGATATCTATAAACAAAACAAGTTGATCAATTAGGGGTCACGACTTAATCGAAGGGTCAGCTGGTGTTTTGTACAAAATTTCGAATTATCAAACTAGGAATATACTCACCGATTTTATATGTGTGCCATGCTGAATAAGTAAATAAATATTGTCCTAGTTGCCTTTGTCTCTTATCAACATGAAAGGTCAAAGAATTCATAACAACAAAGCCACGCGTTTGTAGAAGGATAAGATGACGAATGGAAAGCGTTGATCAGTAT